GGCCTTGACTGCTGTGGACACGGGGTTTTCAGTGACCGCTGGGCCTGGTGTAGAGGGCTCTGAGCCCCACACCTGGGGCCCGGTGGTGTTGGCTCCTGTTGCCTGAGGAGCTGAGAAGGGGCAGGTACTAAAAAGGATCCTGCAGGTGGGGGGCCCCAGAGGAGACTGGGCAGGAGGCTGGGGAGGACGGTGGGCTGCCTGGTGCAGAGCGCCCTCTGTGCGCGTCATGTGGACCGACGCTGCCATCTGACCCTTTCCTTTCTAAGCTGCAGAGGTGAAGTGTGACGTGGTGTGGCGTGGCCATCCCAGACAGTCACAATGGCTAAGGATCCCTTCCCCGACAGTCACATTGCAGTGCTGAGAACGCTGCCCAGGGACCTGCTTCCAGGAGGGCACAGTTGGTGCTGGGCTTCCGAAGCAGGGAGTTGGGGCTGTGAGGTGGGCAAGTGTTCTAACAATGCTCACTTTGTATAGGTTGGAAAATGCAGAAATCCAGAGGAAAAATCACTGTGTTTCCAGTGGCTGTGGCTTCCATCCACATGTGGGATATGGTGGGATCAGTGAGAAGAGAAGGAAGTCGATGAGAGATGGAGCTGGTCTGTGAAGAGAGAGGATGAGCTGCTGTCTACTGACCACCTAATACACCCCATACACGCACACACACACCACAACCATGTGTATAACACACGTGCACACAACACACGTACACACCACGCACATGCTTACAGCACACATGGTCGCATGATGTGCTCATGCACATGTACCCATGCACGCCACGTGTGCTCGTGCACACATAAGCCCTGGCCCCTCCCACTGGGTTCAGGGGCAGTGGCATCTACAGGTGGGTAGGGAGGTGTGGCCAGAGCTGTCACACCTGGGCACCACTGAGGACGGTGGAGAGGTGGCCTTTGCCTTAGGTCGTGAGGGGCAAGTGTGAGTGTGTGGAGGCAGGATGTTCCAGGGTGAAAGCAGCTCTTTCTGGCTCTGGGAACCTGGTGAGCACTGCCCAGCACCTGTTTTCACGTAGCGGGAGCCACCCCCAACCCCGGGAGCCTGGGAAGGGGCCTGAGAGCAGCCCCGGCTGCTCCCCGAATTATAACCCATTCCCTGTATGGGCTCCAGCCTGCTGCACAAAAGCCTTTATCTGGGGGCTGTGACCCCTTTTACCCGCGACGACTCCGACTTGCCACTGGCTGTTCTAATTCCCACGCCGCCGTGGCGCAGGGGCGTGGAGGGGGAGAGTGGGGGCGGCCTGAGCTCATCCCCCACCTGTGCAGGTGATGTTGGCTGTGGGCGTCTGCCCAGCAGAGCCAGTGCCTTGGAGACACAGGGCCTGGTGTTTCCTTTAACACGGTTGCAACCCTATAATCTGCTGCTGCGGCGCCTCAGGCGTGGGGGCTGCAGTGAGGCCTGTGGCCAGCGCCACCCGCCACCACCGCGGCGCCCTGGCTGCTGACTCACACTCCTCCTTCCCCCTTCCCCACCCCCAGCGCTGGCCAGCAGCTGCAGCGGGGTGGCCGCAGGCTGGTGGGGGACAGGGTGAGGGCGGGGGCCCAGAGCACCTGCACATGACAGGAGACTTACTGTTGCACACTGTTGGCTGGAAGTAATCAACTGTATTTAAAGAGAAGGTGGATTTTTAGAGTTAAAAACGCCCAGCAGCTTGCTGATCTGTGCTGGGAGTGACTCTCCTGGCTCTGCTGGGAAGAGGCTGCAGGTCTTGGGGGAGGGGGGCAAGCGCCTGCTGAGCCGACCCCCTGCGATGCTGCCTGAGCAGCGCCCCTCCTGCTCTGGGGGAGGGGGTTCCCTGAGCACAGCCGCCCATGGGGTGGAGGGTGGCCGCTTGAGGAGGTGTGACCTCGTGGCATCTCCCGTCCTCTGCTCGTCTGCTGGCCGTGCTGGTCGGAGGGCCCATGTGGATGGCAGCCGATAAGGGCTTAGCCGTATGTCATGGGAGGTAGCTGTCCCCCCACTTTGAGGGGTCCTTAGGTTTATTTCCTAACCTCTGCCAGTGCCAGGCCACATAGGCTATTATTTTGTGTGTGGGTATTTTATTTCCGTGTTTTCATAACCTTGATTATTTCACACAGGTAACGTACACACACAATTCAGAAGGCCATGCAGAGAAGATGTACGGGGAGGGTCAGGCCTCCTCCCACCCCTTCTGTTACTTGGTGCTCACTGGTGGTATTCTGTGCACGTTCAAGTGTTTGTCAGATGTGAGCTTTACAGCTGCGGTACGTGCTAGAGCGGGGAGGAAGCCTGTGGGTCAGGGACATGTGGGTCTTGGGCCACCCTGTCCCCCGGACCTGTTTCAGGGGCTCAGCAGGCAAGCAGGCTGGCGTGGCCACTGGAGAGCTCCCAGGAGTGGGGGCCACAGGGCAGATCACCATCTCCTGTCAGTGTGTTCTTAAAGAGAGCTCTTTTTCTCCTGGTGGTAAAGCGTCTGCATGTTGTAGGGAATTCGGACAATACCTAAAGATACAGAAAAGAAAATCAAACTGCTTGTGATCCTGCTACCCAGAACAACCACAGAGGCTTAATGGACTTCCTTTTATACATACACACACGTCTTTGTGTGTGTGTTTTCTTAGAAGACTGAACCTGTACCATGCACAAAAGCTGCATGTCCTTTGTCAGTTCTATAGTATATTGAAAGGTTTCCTCTTATCACTGAACCCCCTTTGCAGATGCTTGCATTTGGTGGCATCCACATCAAGCTTACTCTGACCACCCTATGACCAGGCTTTGACCGTTCCTGTCTCCTTTGCCCCACCCTGCTTTCTCTGTGGCTCTAGGTCCCCACAGGGGCCCGCCATCCCTCCCTGGCCACGTGAGCGGGTAGTTTGGGGCTGGCATCTGTTCTGATTGGTCAGTGCCCAGCCCTGCCCCTGACCTAAACTGCTGCAAAAAGTACCACAAACTGGGTGTCTTAGATCAACAGAAATAAATCTTCCCGTAGTTGTGCAGTCGTAAGTCCAGGATCAGGGTGTTGCAGGGCTGCATTCCCTTTGGGACTCTGGGTAGAACCTTTGCTTGCCTCTTCCAGCTTCTGGGGTGGCTGACAGTCCTTAGCGTCCCTTGACTTGCGGCTGCCTCGCCGTCGCCATGTGGCTATCTTTTCCCCGAGTTTCTACACGTTGTCCCTCTGTGCGTGTGTCTTCGTGTCCGGATCTCTCTCCTTTTAAGGACACGGTCCCATTGGATCAGGGCCCACCCTAATGACCTCATTCTAACTGGATTACCTCTGTGTAGACCCTGTCTCCAAATGAGGTGCTGAGAGTTAGGACTTCAGCGTATTAATTTTGGGGGACATGGTTCAGCCTGTAGCAGCCACCAGTTTACCAGCCCAGAGAGCCTGGGCTGTGATGGACGCCCGGCCTCAGATACAAGGTGTGTAAAGCATACGCACAGGAGGCAAACATGTTTTTGGCTTAAAACTTTTGCCAGAAAAAGTGCGTCCTCATTAACCACCGCTCCCAGCTCCTCCTGACCAGAGGTGAGGGGCTGATGGGGTACGTGCGTTCTTGACCCTTTTCTGGGTGTTTCCATCTGCACACATGCAGACACTCACAGTGAGTGGAATCTCATCCGTCGGCCTCTCCCTCCAGATGCATCTGCTGGGCTCTCCGAGGGCAGGAGAAGGTGGCCGAATGAATCTGTTTTGGGGGATGTCCTTCCTCATAGGTGTTGCCTCCTCCCCGACTAAGCTTGTGTCTTTAATTTAGATCTAAAACTCACTATGATGAATTCTACACTTATTTTTGTATGGTGTTCATACTATTATTAACACTTAAATTCTGTGGCAAGTATTTTATTGTATTTTATTTTTAACATCAGCTTCTTGGCCATGCCTGTTTGCATCTGTGCTGGGTTGGTAATGCGTGTACAGGAGGATTTGGCTGACTGGGTTTTTTCTAGGCCGTCTCATAAGCACACTGCTCGCATCTTAGGAAGCCTGGAGTTTAGTACATTGCCTTGGCTTTCATTTATTTACCGGGAGAAAATGGAGGCTGGTGTTGGATTAGGATTGAAGTTGAGCAGCTGTAGGCTGAACTTGTTTTGCCTTTTTTTTTTTTTTTTTTTGCTGTATGCAGGCCTCTCACTGTTGTGGCCTCTCCCGTTGTGGAGCACAGGCTCCGGACGCGCAG